TTTATATATAAATATTTTTTTATGATACATTTTCAATAATTCGATCAAAATTTAAATTGCCGAGTCGCGTTTGTAGAATTCACGAATTTGGAAAAATACCTTTATTAAATTGACCACAATTAATTTTTTTTTACGTTAGAAGATACTGTATATATAAAAATTACTGATTAAATTAATCCAAGCGAATTCAGTAAAAGTAGTTGCTTTTTCAACATTGCAACTGCAGTTGCATTATTGAAAATACCACGATTTCAATTGATTAAACTACATTTAAACAAAAATTAAAACCTGTTTCAACGATACAAAGTAATTCGAATGATTAGTAAAATATAATATTTGCAATTATCTGTAAATATGTGTACAAAAAAAACGAAAAGATAAAAAGGGATCAATCGATCATGCGATATTCGTTTTGAAAATATCCATATACACTTGTATATATATTTAATATAATTATTATTTATTAACTTACTCAATACAAGTACTTAACGTCGAGTTTCATGCAGAATAGTCACATGTACTTGGCTGCACGACGGTTGTACTCTCATTTATTTTTTTTTCTTTTTAATATGCTCGTTAAGAGCGCAAAATTTGCTCGAGTTTGCTTTCGAGAACGATGAACTTTTTAGGCGGGGCAAACTGTAGAGTAGGGTTTTTTCTGTCACATATTGTATACATTCATAATGTTGCCATAAAAATCCTTTCTCACTATTAAACTTGCTTACTTTACAGAGATTTCTTTCATTAAGATCTTCTCGACATTTAAACGCACTAATCTTTTCTTACAATCGGAAATTCGGTTTAACAAATGAATCATTTGATTAATAGTTTCTTTTCAAAGAAATATACAATTGCAATATGCCTATGTTAAAGAATTTCCTTAAATGTAGAAATAAAGAAAAAAAACAACATGCGAACGAATATGTAATCAATTTTATCATTTACTATTTTGTTGTGTGTTGTTAGTTTTCTTACAAATTTATGAATAATTATAAATTATATTATATGTCGTCACTTTTGATGCATAGAAATTATTTTTTGTAACAACCGACGGTTATAGACAAATTGAAATGATATATCATAGGGCTTACAAAAAAGATAGACACAATTTTCATGGAAACACAAATATATACAATAAAATATATGTATCAATTAATATAGTAAATTAAAATTTGTAAAATTAATTTCTAAAAAAATCTAAATATCTTTTATAATTAAATTATAAAATCCTCTTTCATAATTCGAATTAATTGTAAAGTAAAATATGTCAATCATTAACCCTTTCGTTATTAGCGACTCATATACGAGTCGTTCAAGTAAGATCCCCGTATGAATGACCAACCGACTGATTCATATAGGGATCGTAACATGGAATGATGGTGAATTTATATGAAAGGATATTCGCGTCAAAGCATGCCATAACGAAAGGATTAATGACTAAGTCTTTTACTTGTAAAAGTAAATGATTTATTAGTAGAATTTAATAATTGGTATGAACAAGTGTATTGAAATTCAGCCCTCATAGGCAGAACAATAGAAGAAATCGTTGACAAATTGTGTCGATCTGTTTTCGACGCCAAGATTTTCTTTCTTTTTCTTTTTGTTACTCTCGATAATACGCCTATCTCTTTCATTTTGTCCTGATATCACCTTATTTTCATCTTATTGGTATATTCAGTCCCGTTCTCCCCTTTCCTCGGCACGTTCCTCCGCTCTTGCTTTCATTCTAGTTATGAACGCTTGTCCTTTGCTCTTACGAAAATTTTCGTACGGATCGTTTAAATTAATACCGACTCCTTTGTATTGGTCATTTTTATCTCGAATTTCACCTCCCGATATAGGAGCCTCGATACCTTGTTCGTTAGCACCTAATCCAGCACCAGCCCAGCCCATTTTTTTTAACAACTGGTGTCCTTTATTACTTTCATCGAGACTTATCTCTTGCGGAGCTTTGCTATATGTTGATCCACTAAATAAAAAATAGTTATCATTTATACGAATCAAACATATTTATGATAACAAATTCCCAACAGGAAATAAAACTTATTATCATAAAACCCAGCGCGCCACTTTGAGAATAAAAATACACATATTCTTTAAATTGGATATATATAAAAATACTATTTTTATGTATTAACATAAGAAGTTATAATATTCACTGAAATGATTAATAATTAATAATAAATAATAATTATGTTTAATGTTTAAATAGAGAAGAATCTAGAACGCTGTGTTCTCAAATGATGAAGTAAAATAAAATAGACTTACAGAAAACTTGGAGGAGTTGGACTGCGATCCTGTCTGTCTAATCTTCTATCAGGACTTCGATCCTTATTGCTGTTTCTTCTTCTACGACTTCTAGTATTATGATTACTGTTGCGACTATTCCGTCTATGATTCGTCGTTGGTGATCGCGATCTACTCCTACCCCTTGACCTCGATCGCGATCTGCTACGAGATTTACTTCTGTAACGTTTCTTTGGAGGACTAGGACTTTTTGATCTTGGCCTTAAAATGGGCGAGGGTGATTTTGATTTTTGTCTAATTCCAGCTACAATGTCTTCTTCTTTGCGTTTGCGCGCTAAATTCTTTGCTTTGTAATATTCGTAGAGACCAAGTTTCTCCCATCCATCGCTAAAATAAAAAATTGGAAACATTTATATTATAATTGATTTATGCAAATAATTGCAATATTAGTTGGTTTATATATTACCATAGATAAAATAAATTAATTACAACTCACCTGTCTCTCGGTGAATCGTGATTTGGAGGTGCATAAAAAGCTTCTACAGCAGCAACCAATCGATCACTGGGTGGTGCAGGTGGTGGAAGTCTGATAGCATCAGGATCTAATGGTTTGTATTCTCCATCTTCAAGTTTGATGAGGGGGACCATCAAACCAGCAGGCAATTCAAAGTATGGCATGCTGGGCATCAGATCTTCGACGGATGGTTCGTGAATGACAGGCGGTGGACCGAATCCTGGCGGTGGTTTAGAAAAATCTGGTAAAGGAACATTCGAGAATGGTGGTGGTTCATTTCCTGGTGGTACACCCCAACCAGGTGGGGGTTGACTAAAGTTAACATCGCTACCCATTGGTCCGCTGGGACCAGTGTGATTAGGTGGTAGTGCCATGTTCTGTTGATTCTATAGAAAACATCATTTTGTAAAAACAAATATTAACACCACTGATAAAATACAAATAATACAACAAAATAAAATACCAGTTGTGGAGGTGGTGCTTTTAGTTGCTGATCGATTGCAATTTTTTGCTGTTCAATATTTTGAATTTGTCTTAAAGCATGCGTAACGAATGCTTGATGTTGGGCTTGATAATTGTCAAATGTTTGTTTTGTTGAAGTTGTGATAGGAGTAATAGCACTGGCATGTTGAGATACTAAATTAGCTTGGTATTCTGACCATGATGCACTGGGTTGTTTCAATTTATCTATAATTCCTTCGTCAAAGTAATTATTCTTTGATTCCCAAAGGCTTAATAATTTATTAAGCTTGTTAAGTTGCTCTTCAGATGCGGCTAATGAAGTATTACAGAACATGGGTACAACTACACTTTCCATCGCCTTTCGAAGATCCATAGATTTTTTTCTAGCGCTAAGAAATGTTATACTTTGCAAATATATATATATATATATGTAAATATACATACAGATGCAAGCATAATTATAAAAAATATACATTTTATAGACAATTTCACAATCAGCAAAGAACTTCTATTTGATTGTAAAAATACACCTAATATTATTAATTAAATATCACATACAATGTAGATGAAATATTTAATAATATAATCAAACTAAATATGATTGGCGTATTCTTAGAAAAATTCATACACTCACCAATGATGCAAGACATCGTTTACCAAATATATAATGTGTAGTTTATGGCTAAATGTCGATCCTTGGATAACTCTGTAACAAAAACATACCATGTTAAAAGATATTTTCAAATAAAGTAATGATTATTTCATTTAATAACAATATTACATTACTTTTTTAATAAATGATCAGCAACAACTTGATTGCTTTGTGGCGTAACAGAATTTTGAAGAATCCAAGCTTTTCCTGCGCTTATGCTGTCTTTGGTACAGCTATCGATAATGGGTTGCAAAACAGTATCAAATGCTGTAAGATCAGTGTTGGTAGTTTGAGCATTATTTTGCAGAGCTGTTTCTTGAGCTTGTCTAACTGCATCCTCGACTCTGCCTTGTTGTTGAGCCATCAATGCAGCATGTTGAGCAGCAAGATTTTGTTCCGATTGTCTAACTTGTTCCTGCAGAGTCGTTTGTTGTGATTGAAGATTGGCCAGTTCTGTTTGAAGCCATGCCGGTGGGCCACCGATGTTAACCGCTGGTGTGACTCCACCTATAGGTGGGTTTACACCTCCCATGGCAGACGGTACCGATCCAATTGGTGGTCCGGTATTAGTTGGTCCTCCAATTTGTCCGGGTACACCTGGTATCACTGTACCAGCTGAATTTCCCACTGGCCCAATTCCAACTACCGGATTTAATCCATTGTTCTGAGTATTTAGGCCAGACGTTAGATTGACGTTATTCAGCGACTGGGTGGCGGTAGCGGCTGTTTGCTGCTGCTGCGAAACGTTTAAACGTGGGTCTGCATTTTGCATTGGATTTATTCCTTTTTGCTTTAAAACTGTAAACGAATGACGGTTGATTATTGTAAGATGTTTTATTTCTTCAATTTGTTATTGAAAAAGTATACAAATAATCCAATTTCTGTTCTGTATTATCTTTACCGGTGCATAATTTAATTCTTGGCGGGTTTATTAGAGAAGTATACATATAATCAAAAAAATCCGGTAAGTCTTTTGGGAGCACTATATTCTTTTCCCTGTTTTTATATTTCTATATTACAAGGGCTTTACAGGGTATATACATTATATGGGATTATTTATACCTCCCACATAGATTTAAGCTTTACACCGACAATGTACTCCGTATTAGATAAGTTCCAGTAAGAATCTTAAAACTAATTCTTCTCAAAATCGCCATTGTCGAGGAATACAAGATGTCTTTAGCAAAAGCATTCTGCTTAACAAATAGCAATCCCAAAATCTTGAAACCAAGTGCTCACATTTGATGATTAATTGTACGATGAATTCAGAGACCCTTTCAACCGTATCTCTTATTTTTTTATATTAATATTATTAATATTATTACTTTGATTTATTTTTATACATATATATATATTTTTTTTTGGTCAAACTCATTCCTTGTTGTTGAATAAAGCATGGCCTTTATGCTTCTCAATTGTTGGTAGCTGTTAAGGGGCTGTATCCCACTTACTGGCTTGCTCTGTAGTCACTTTGTACTGATAGTAGTTGAAGTGTTCCCCGCCAAACAAGAAACCAAACTTAGGGTTGTCCTTCTGCTTGTTTTTGGTCATCTGCTCGAACTCCGGTCCATTGCGGGCGACAAACTGTGCCAGTTTGTCAATGATGTTCCGTAACTCTGTATCTACATGTTATATCAAAACAAATAGAATTAGAGTCATCGATTAGTGTTAAACGATAAAATCCATAAAAAATAAATAATAAAATTAAAAAAAAAGATAAAAATAAAAAAGAAAGAAATGTAGAAGTAAACGTAAAGTACATGTTAGAGAAATATAAAAGAACATTGCATCAAATATTGAACCCTGTCCTAAAAAGTGTGTCCATTGTAACCTGAAAATTTGAAATAGTTCATATTGAACATTCACCGAGTTAGGGTGATACATAACACATTGATCTCCAACTTTGATCAAAATGAAAATGCTAAAACGATTAATCATACAATATTACGATTAATACGAATACGTGATATTATTCGTAAATTTTCAATTAAGGGTGAAAATATATGTGTGCGGTAAGATCGCGCGCACGGTCATTCCTTTTTCTTTTTCTCTCTTTCTCTCTCTCTCGCTCTCTCTCTTTCCCTCTGTGATCGTCATCGTCGTCGAGCTTAATAATTGTTTATTTACCTGTAGGTGCTTGGTCCATTATAGCGACTTCTTTCGAGTACTCTTCCAAATTAAATAATTAAAGTTGCTTTTACAAAATTGGACCTTCTTTTTTATACGATCGGAACTTTCCTCCGAAAAACATTATCTACTCACAGTGGACACAAGACGCTACAAATCGCCATTTTTACTTTAATTTGTTCCTTAACCATCGGTGGCGCCATCATCGCTAACCATACTGGACAACCTAAGACATATCCGGAAATACCACCATATTTATCGCATTTTGCTGCCTGCGTTCTGATTCTCTTTAATTGTATCCTACAGTTTTTCTTCGTATTTTAAGGTAATTGTTTGTATATTTTTTAACGAGTTCCATTAATCTATCGTTAAGTATGAATTTTTTAAAAATGTTATTTCTACAAATTATCTCTTGGTTTTCGTATACTTGTACGACAATATGACTTTCAATCGTTTCTGGTGTATATATCAGCAATACAATTTATTATTTATTAATCTTAATTTATAGAAATGCCGGTAGCATCTGAAATTAAGTCCAGCTGGGCAGATGAAGTCGAAGAAGAAGGAGGAGTATTACCTCCACCTTCTGAGGTTTATGAGAATGGATTTAAGATTCTTACAGAGTATAAGTATAATCAGGATAACAAGAAAGTCAAGGTAGTAAGTACTTACAAAATTGAACGTCGCATAGTATCAAAGACCATTGCTGCGAGGAAGAATTGGGCAAAGTTTGGAGACTCCACTGATGACAGACCAGGTCCCAATCCTGCTACTACGGTTGGTGCAGAAGATGTCTTCATGCAATTTATATCTAGTAAAGAGGAAGAAAATAAAGTCGAAGAAGATACTCTCGATAAGCTTAAAAACATGGGTGATAAGGGTGTCGTTAAATGTCGTAATTGTAACGGTGACCATTGGACTTCTAAGTGTCCGTACAAGGATACTGTACTTGCTGGAGGTAAATATTTTTACAGCGAGTTTTACAGATTCCTTCTCTAATTATTATTATTATTATTATTATTATTATTATTATTATTATTATTATTATTATTATTATTATTTTTATTATTATTATTTTTAGGTAAAGTACCAGATGATAAGAAACCTCTTGTAAGTCCTACTGTTCCTGGAGCAATGGCTGAGTTGAAACCACAGGGAAGTAAATACGTTCCACCGAGTATGCGAGATGGTGGCAACAAGCGTGGTGATGCTATGCAAATGCAGAGAAGAGACGATACTACAGCCATTCGTATTTCCAATTTATCTCAGAGTACTACAGATGCTGATTTGGATGAACTGGTTAAATCGTTTGGAACGGTCGTGAAACAATACTTAGCAAAAGAAAAACAAACAAATTTGTGCAAAGGATTTGCATATGTACATTTCAAGTATAGAGCGGAAGCTGCTAAAGCTATTGCCACTCTCGATGGTTATGGATATGATCATCTTATTTTAAGCGTAGAATGGTCCAAACCTCAACAACAAAGTAACTAATTCAATTCGATGTAAAACAATAAGAGAAAATCTTTACGCTGGACATAATGGGTGTGGCTGTGCCAAGTTGTGAAGTCGTAGAACAAGTAAACAATATTCAATATTTTTCACTTTTTCATGTTTTCCATTTTTACATCTGATATTTCCAATGAATACAACATTTTAATGAAATGACAATTTGTAATTTTATATAAACCGAATTCAAATGAGGTTAAAATTATATTTTTCTCGATGACACAACTTGTCACCAATTTATTTCAATTTTCAATCAAGTTTTGCAGTAAAGTAATTCTCTTTAAAAAACATGATTTATTGGATTTTTTTTTATTTAAAATTGATTGTAAATAGAAACGATATTATATACATAAGCATCGATTATTACTACATATATAATTAACAGCCCAATTATATTAACACTTCGTAATGCAGCATGATTTATCGATAATACCTATCCTTTATTTATTGTCCAATCGAGTTCCAGTAAATTCCAATACAATTTCATTTCAACTTATTATATATAAATTAAGTAACTAAATTTCTTAACGAATTATTTTATATGGTTTCATAAAAAGTTTAATTATGTTTATTTTGTGTGTAAATTTAAAATATTTATATTATTATTTTTTAACCGTCTCATTAACGATCCGTATAGAGATCAGTCGTTCATACGAGACTTTTGCATGAAGGACCATTAAATGGATCGCTTATACGAGACCTTTGCATGGACAATTCGTATATGGGACGCTAGTAACGAAAGCGGGTTAAGAAAGTAGGTGATAAAAAATGAATGCTGAGCCAAGAATTATATACGTAAAAAGTGTGATAATATAAAAAGCAAGGACATATATTTTTTGTTCTTATTGTTTCTGTGACATAACTATAATATGATTAATACTAGATAGTCTAAGTACTTCGAGACGGTAACTATAGTTAACAATTATATAATGCTCCAATGAGCTTAGTCACCATTTTGAAAAAAGTACCAACGGAACGTATGTATTGTTATTATAGATTAATATAAAAAGAAATATATTGAGAAAAGAAATCTCAAATTTTTTCTTAGGAAGAAACTTTAACAATCGTAGACGTTGCTTTTCAATTTTTTAAAAGAATTTTTCTGATCCCTTAAAAACGATATTTTCGAATTTTCACACGAATTGTTAAAGAAATGTTTAAAAATCATATTTCATTCCAATACATGTGGTACTTTCTTACTATAATATCATAATCAATGTTAACGATAGAAAATTTAATAAAACCTAAAAAGAAAAACAAACAAAAAATCGCATAAATGCGCGCTTGCAACAATTGTCTCATCGACACGCGTTTAAATGTAAAATTTAACGAGAAAAAAAAAATTAATAATTAACGGCGCTCGCAACAATAATCGATCTATCATCCGCTTGTATTATTTACAGAACACGTAGCATAAACGAGAAATAGTTAATTTTTCTTTTTCTTTTTTTTTTTATATATATATAAAAAGACAATAGTCGTTTATAAACTCGACATTTGAAACACCAGGATTTATTTTACATATAAAGCGTAAAATTCAACCCGATTATATATATAATCGATCACGAAGCGACCTAATCCGACCATTGTCCAGAAACACCAATAGATAATTCTTCTTAAGATTTCATTTGTTTTTTCGACTTTTAGAATTGTATTTAAAAAATGAAGATTATTTCTTTTGACGAAATGTCTTCGTTGTTTCTATAAAGCATCGAGTGCAAATCATTTATCCTTTTAGGATATCAATCAATTGATCTTCTAAATATCAACGATGTACAAACATACTTAACGCATATGCATGCTTATATATCGAAAACGCATTGTCTTTGCTTTTTTTTTTTTTGACTAACAAGAAGATAAAGAATTAGTCGATCAACGTTGAGGATGGAGGGTAAGTCTGGTCTAGTTTACCAAACAGCACACTTCTTCTCAGGATTCATTTTCGAACCAAGCGGACAATTAAAGTCTTTAGAAAATTCGTTCATATTTGAGAAAGGACCTAAAACACGAAATTCTCCTGGACTATGGAATCCAGTGGTAATGCGAAGCTTCATCGCTTCTGGTCGATATTTGCTGCACCAAGTATTGGCAGCACTAATCCAAAACATTTGTTCGGGGGTATAGGAAAGTCCTGGTAATTTTGGCTCGGGGTGATTTCTTCTGACCCATTCTTTGTACGCTAAGTAGGCTTCTTTGATGCCACCATTATCCGCAATATTTTCACCTTGCGTATTAATACCGTTTAACTGTAAGCATAAAAATAATGAATTAATGTCTTAATTAGGATTCAATGAATTATGAAGAATAAGAGAAAGATTTTCGTACGTTCAAACCAACTTCCTCGACCGTGTAATTTCCATATTGATGAACAATACATTCAGCTCTTTCTAAATAATTTTCCTTAGTTTCCGGTGCCCACCAATCAACGAGATTTCCTTCTTTATCGAATTGTCTGCCTTGATCGTCGAAACCGTGCGTAATTTCATGGCCAATAACAAATCCGATAGCACCGTAATTCATGTACCGTGGTCGATTGTTGTTGAAGAAAGTTCCTTGAAGAATACCGGCTGGGAATTCTGTCCAATCATTTTAATATATAAAATTATATTCAGTATTATAATAAAAAAGATAGGAAAGATTTTTAAGATTAAAGACAACGTACGAATGCTGTTTTCTATAGATGAATAAAATGCGTTAACGATCGCTGGTCTTCCATGAGTAACCCAATCACTCTTGTTTACAGGTTTCCTAAGTTTGCTGAAAGAATATTCCGTTCCGAAGAGCGTTAAGTTCAAAATACTTTCGAGATAATTTCCTTCGGTTAATTCGAGTTTCTTATAAAATTCTTCAAGTTTTTTATCATCCAATAATTCGTCGGGATAAGCAATGTGACTGGCCATCGATGCGGCTTTGTCCAAAGCACTTTCTTTAGTATTTTCGTCCATCCAATCGACCTAAAAAAAAAAATATACAACAAAATTTTAAACATGCAATTAATTTTTAGGATTTTTAAGATATTAGAGCAATTAATTTTACCTTCTTCAAAATTTTCCTAAATTCTTCTCTGATATCTGACACCATTTCAATCGCATTTTTCTTAGCATCTTCCTTGAAATATTTCCTTACGTACATCGCACCAACACTTATCGATAAACTTCCCGAAACTATGTCAACGCATTCCTTCCATCTAGCTTCTCTCTCAGTTTTACCACTCAAAGCTGTCGAATATTGAAGTTGCCTTCTTCTGATGTTCTCCGTAAGATAACTGACCGATCCGGCAGCTGCTCTCCACATGACATAATTAGCCTGAATCCTTTTCGGCGTCTTACTCAAAAGTTCTTCCAAACTTGTAATATAACTTGGCACGCTAACTATTACCACTTCATTTTCATCAACCTGTACGGTCGGTGCTAATATCGTATTAAAATATTCCTTCCATGGTATGCTTGGAAAGTTCTTGTTTAATTCAGTTATGGTCATTGGGTTGTATAACAACGTTGCGTTACGTCGTTTTTCGTTGGGCAATGATATCTATAAAAAAAAAGAAAAAAAAAAAAGAAATCAAGATTATCGAAATGATCCTGACCAATCATAACAAAAGTCATGAATAATAATTCCAAACTTAAAACTTACATTCGCAAGTTTCATTTCAAATTCCAATGATTCTCTAAGTTCAGTTTTAGCTTTGTTCTTCTCAGCTCCAAGTATTACAGCAATATCAACCATGTAGTCGTAATAGGCTTGCACGATTTTATCGTTAAATCCCTTGGACAAATATTCGCGTGACAAACCGAGCGACGCTTGATCCAACTGCAAGTAAATATTTATCAGAGTTTTTGTTTGATCTAACAAAAATCATTGAGATAAGTATTTTATACTTACATCAATAATGCGCATTGTGCTATTCTTTAAATCTACACCGATGCTAAAGTCTATGAAATAATCTACGGAATAACCTCGTGTTCTGAACTTGTACACCGAATCTTTCCAAGTGAAATCTTCCTCTTTCCAATTGTCACCATCTAACACAGGCCAACCACCTAATACGCGCAAAATATTGTGCAGAGGTTCCAAACCTTTTTCCTCGATAGCCGCTAAAAAATAAATAAAAACAAATAATTAGAATTGTATAAGAAGTTCTGAACAATTGTACTAGAACAGGATTACTTACTTTTATTCATACATGTTTTATAAAATATCTTGGCTAACGTGAAGGGTCTTGGCTCATTCGGTGGACTCTTCTCTTCAATGCTGGTTCTAAGTTGTTGTTGAAGATTATCGCTGATAATACTAAACGTATTTACGCTAGTCTTGTCGTCCGGAATGATGGTGGATTTGAGAAAACCACCGCAAGCGAATTTGTAAAAATCATCGCAGGGTTCCACGTCGGGATCCATGTTCTCCAATATTTTCGAAGCTGTATTCAAATTAATTTCACGCTGTTATTCTATGACAAATTTGATATCTCTGAAATATTTTTTTTTTATAAAACTCACCGGTGTGTACGCATCCTGCAGAGACGCATATATTTTCTTTTCCTGTTGATTGATGATTGATGGTGGTCGTTGTACCTTCGATTACTTGCAGAGCTTCCGCTGTGGACGGTAGTTGTTCTGAATTAGCAACAGCTAACGACGCGTGCAGATGGTATGCGTGCAGATGCGGATTGGTGATGATAAGAAAAAATAATATGCAATATTAGTGTTAAGCTAATTTATTTTTCTAAATAAGCAATATCAGTAAAAAGAAACCAAAACTATTTGCAAGCAAAAATGTATTACAATAAAAAAACAAATACGCGATTAGGACTCTAAATGATTCATAATAGCGATAATGCTTAGGATGCTAATTTTTCCGAAGGTTTAAAGCGTGAAACTAGTGGAGATATTTTATTTTATTTTATTTTTTTCGATATTCCATAGATAATGGATTGCAGTAACAACTCAAAACAAAATGATTCACTCGACCAGTCATCATACATTATTTTTTTTCTCTTTCCAAAATAAATTTCAGAACTACTAAAATGTTTTTTTTTTCGGGTGGCGGAGGGATGGGAGATTTTTTAAAACTTCGAATGAGAAGAGAAATTTATTTGCCATCTTTTTTTTGTCTCGTCAAAGGTAGAAAACATCGTTTCGTTAGTTCCGATAAATTCGGTTCTGAGTGGTTAAGCTTTTTCAAGGTCAATGAAATAAATTTGGACGTGTGTGTTTATTAATCGTTTAATCAAGGGAATTAGAATAGAATAGAAAAAAGAAAAAGATAGCAGGCGAGATCGATAAATTTCGTTCTTCTGGATTGCGTTCTATAGTCAATACTGTTGCGATTTATTAAACTTAATGGTGAACATGAATCGTTTAACCCAACTTTATGCTCTTCACCTCGTGTCGTAAGAAACGAAGATCGATTAATCTTGATTATATACCGAGTCAACTGTTTAATGTTTGTACCGAATTGAAATAATTGTGTTCGACATAGATTATCGGACTATTTGACGAAGAGCCAAGTCGTAAAACGAATAACAAATAATGCGAGATCAATAAGATCAACATTCTAATCGATAATATTTAACTCGATATCGTTATACACGATCTTTAGATCTTGTTCACTCTAGCGTATAATAATTTCGTTAGTAAAAGTGAACGCTGTTTTAATAAATTTTCATACTTTTTGTATTATAATATTCACTTGAGATGATTTATAATTAATGTGCGCTCGTAATTATAATTGGAGCGAGTCCAAAAATTGAACAACTATTTTATTACAAAT